CCTCAATAAACTCCTTATTTGCTGCTTATTAATAGTTAGTAAGGTAGTTGTTAATTTGAGGTATTGGGTAGGATTAGGGATGTAGAATATGTGCTTTATAAGTACTAACAAACAGCCAATATGTTAACAATAGGCAACTAGTTAACAGTGGGAATTGGTCCCTATACTATAGCGCTACCTATGCTATAAAGTTAAAAAATCCTGTTTTGGGGTTTGTTAAAATATTGATTCTTGTCACAAAAAATCTCTAGAATTATAAAGATCAAGTCAGTCAGCGCACTCTGCTTCTCAAGTACAGTGGAAAGCCCAACCCTCCCACTAGCCAAAATCCCATTCCTTAAACTTGCATCTGTCTGCTAACTCACATAATGTAACAGGTTAGTTTGCAGCTATCAGCAACATCAGCTCCCCAAACTTCCTTTCAAAGGAAAACGTTAAAGAAGCACAGAATGAGGGAAAGAAATGCCACAGAGTCTTTTTACGTGAGAAAGGCAAAAAGTGGAAGTAGCAGGAAGTGAAGGCAGGTCTTTACGTTAGAGGCATTTCCTGTCCCAGTGATGCATATCAGTTTTCTGAAGTTAGGTAAAGGGGTGTGTGACAGAGAGGGAGAAGGAAAAAGAGAGCACTTTGATTGTGTATTTTGAGCTTGATAAGAGATTGCCAGATTAAGACATACTGCCAACACAAATTTGAACATAACTTCACTCTCTCAGAAAACAAAGAAACAGCCTTTTCTTGTTTTAAAATCAAATTACTACCACATAAGACTAATCTAGTATGGAAGTAAAAGCATCTCAGTTTCTTGTTCTCGCTTTTGAAGTTCAAACATCTGAGAACATGAGATTTACTGTCTTTTTCACATTTGCTTTGTTCTTTAATTTTTGACTAAAAACTCAGATAAAGAATCAAATGATACATTTATGGAATGTTTAGGCTTTAATACAAGTCATGAGGAAGCTGTTTCTAAAAATGATTATTTCTAAACAATTAGAAAATATTTGACATCCACCATTCTGCAAATAAATAAATTTTAATTATACAGTAATGCATTTACTATGGACGTCTATGGGGCAAGAAAAGACTAACTTACTAATAAATTGACTGACAAATTATGGGCAACTTGCAGTTGAATTTACTTTAAACTTTCTTTAAAAAACTGCACATATTCAGTCTGTTTTAAGTAAAATACATGTTAAAATCAACAAATGAAACTGAACTTCACAATGTTATGTGAGCTTTAAAGCAATTATGCATGAAGGCCTTGAAGTGAAGGACATGTGCATTTGGTATCATGTGAATGTATAATATTTACAGTATAGCTGTCTTAAAACAGCTCGCCAGCTGTTTGAAGTACAGCATGCACCACTTACACTATTTTTGTTGTGCTCATTATTGGTTGCCATGGCAGCATTTGTGAAGTCGCAATTCCCCCACCTACAAATTTGTCCAAGTAAAAGTTTAACCAAATATACAAGGTATTTACAAGCCATATTGTAAAATAGTATAGGGAACACATATGTTTTTGAAGTGAAGTATGAAATCAATTTGGCTTTTTCTGTTTAAAACCTTACAAGAAATCTTAACCTAAAGTTTTTTTTAGAAAGCTTTCTGTGTGGGGTTACAATTAAAATTCAGTGCCCAGAGTGTGATATCCTGTCAGAAGTGCTTTTTTTCAGAAGTGTGACAAACCTCAAGAGATGTCTGAAACACAGACGGAAGACTCGTCTAGTGTAAAGTGTCTAAACTCAAAAGACGCCTTGAATGTTCTCTAGACTCCAGTCATCCATGACAAACCTCTTGACTCAGAATGGAACAACCAAGGACAGCACATTTCAAGTCAAGTCACTTGGCTACCAAATAGTAACCCATCACTTTCTGTATAGACATACTTGGTCCCTTTAAATACACTCATTGTGTGGGTGAAAACTTAAAAGCATAGTTCACTCAAAAATAAAAATTCTGCCATTATTTATTTGCATTCATGTCATTTGAAACCTGTATGACATTCTTTCTTCTATGGAACACTGTATCTACAATGAAAATGGATGTGGACCAGGAGCTGACAAGCCCCGAAAAGGACAACAAGCATACCATACGATTCAATATTCAAAGTCTTCTGAAGCCATGTGATAGCTTTGTGTGAGGAACAGACTGAAATGTAAGTTAATTTAAGATCGTTACAGTAAATCCTGCATGACAGGCTTGCGGCCATTATTCTCTTTTATTGTATTGAGCTTGGACATTCTGCTATAAATACCTCATTTTGTGTTCCACAAAAGACCCTACTTTAACTTTACAAAAGAACTACCCCTTTAAGTCCTCAAAACCTGTGGGGAAAAAAATCACATATGTTCAAAGTATTTGTGTTCTCACGCATTAATAGCTAAGCTGGACGGCTTTGAAAAAAGTGGCATACCAACCTTGCATATGTAGCACCGTTAGTTAAGACATTTTTTGGCTACCGCCTCCACTTGTTAATGCCCCTTCATGTATGACAACATCCAAGCAATATCCTACAGACATAACACCCCTTTGCAGAGCCCGTGAAAAGAAAAACTGACCCACATCCAGCCCCATTACCTAATCTTTTCCTGTTATTCCAACTCAACATTTGCAATACCAGATATGTACAATGGCCTCTCATGGCATGGCTTTAAAATGACTCCCTTACAATATACTTGAACTTTACTTAAGTATACTTACTAAAATAAACTTGAAGTATACTACTTTTTGGTAAGGGTACCCTAACTAAACAAAATAACAAAAGTAAATTCAGCACTTTCAGAAAATGCTCGTAACGCATTTGTAACATATAGTCTATTTAGACACCTAAGAGATAAATATGAACTATCATTATTGCTTACCTGCTTTCTGTTAGATGTAGCTATGGGCTTTTTTTGATTGCACAAAGTTCGGGGAAAATATAGGGAATTCCTATCTTTCACAAAGTGTTCATTTCTACGAGGTATTTCATAGGTTACTGCCAGTTGACTGCGAGCTGGCGTTTATTTTATCGAAAAATGCTGACATTATAATAAAAACAAAATAACAAAAGTAAATTCAGCACTTTCAGAAAATGCTCGTAACGCATTTGTAACATAGTCTATTTAGACACCTAAGAGATAAATATGAACTATCATTATTGCTTACCTGCTTTCTGTTAGATGTAGCTATGGGCTTTTTTTGATTGCACAAAGTTCGGGGAAAATATAGGGAATTCCTATCTTTCACAAAGTGTTCATTTCTACGAGGTATTTCATAGGTTACTGCCAGTTGACTGCGAGCTGGCGTTTATTTTATCGAAAAATGCTGACATATGTTACATGTGATCACCAACTTCACGCACTCAGAGTTTAGGCCTACTTTGGCCAAGTCTAGTTTGATAACGCTTTAAATTAGTGATGAGAATCGTGACTATATATGAATCCGTTTTTTTGAGCGGAAAGAATCATTTCCAACTTTGTTTCAAACAACAGATTCAGTGGTTCTTTGCGCCATGACGCAATTACGTTGTGCACGTCGTTCCCATTCAGCGTGGCATATTACACGATCTAAACATTTCAATAACGCGATATTTAATGAAACAATGCAAAGGCGCTGGTTTTCCGTTTGACTAAAATACTGTTTATTGAAACCACATCTATTTTTATGCGTATTCGGATAGGTTTGAACGAGATTCTTAGTTCATTGATTCAGTGAGTTGACTCGAGCACAGCTCTCGCGAATGAATCGTTAAATGGTTAATGTCGGATTCAAAGGAAAGATTCGTTGACGAATCGAACCTCATTAGTATGAAATAAATGAACATTTTGTGGTCGGTCTGAATTTAAACAAGACGAAAGGTTTGGTTGAAAGTGGTGTGGCTGTGGTCCGACAGCTGTGAGCTCCCCCTTCACATACTTTCCCAAATAGAAGGCTTCTCACGGCGAGTTCCCTGTAGCCACACAGCCAAATTTGGCTCCCCATTTCAATCCCTTGGGCAGAGGCTGAATCAACTATTCAATCTTTTTACAGCTCAGAGACGCGCAATTTCCCAGCTCCGTGTGTCTTGACGGTGTCAGATCTATAAATGGAGATTGCTCAGTGTACAGGCTTGTGTATTATAAACAACATTTCTCCAAATTAAAACTGACTCATAGTCTAATACCTACACGTGGAATTTGTAGTAGGCTATTGCTCCAAATCAGTGATGGCTTTCTTGCTTTGTCAGCATTTAGCGTCTATATCTCAATGCTGAGAAGGTTCATGTTGATGGCAACAAGTTTGGAGATCGTTTTTTGGAGGATAACGAACTTTGAAAACAGCGCTTTCATTGTTTAAAAGGTTAATCATTCATTCAGCTATCTTTGACCACTATGCAAAGAGTCCTTCTAGTGGACAGATAAACTGTTGAACAGGTCACACATGTTCTACATTTTGCATTTTTCTTCTTTAAGCTAATATTTTTTATTTATTTAAATTTTAGTGAACATAATATTTTATCAGTAGCTAATTCTTGATGATGCGCTCTCAGGTTGTACATCAAACCATTAAATTATGTAGGCGTACTTAAACCATAAGTAAAAACTGTCATGACATCATCCTTTCAGGATATGAATTCTACAAGGACAATAAGTGTCTCCTCGTTTTTTCCCCTATTTATTTGTTTGTTTGTTTATTTAGCTTTAAATGGCACAGTGTAGGCTATTATTGAACATCATTATTAAAATACTAAATTTAGAATGTAATTATATGTAATAAATTTTAAATAGGCCTATCAGCTTTTCAAAATGCTTTCTAATCAGCTTTCTAAAAAATCCCTAAATGGTTTAATCTCGTTGCTTTATTCAATGCATGTCTCCTCATTTGATTAATTAAGTTATCTAACTCAATGTTGTACCGCTCTTTTTTCTCCACTTTGTGAATTGTGCTCTTAGCTCCACCTCTATGGGAGTTTGTCACGAGTGGAAGAACTGGACCTCCTCCTAATACCCCTTCAATTAAGCTGGAGGGAGGACGCAGAAAGGAGAGAAGGGGACAGATAGACGGAGGCGCGGTACCAGAGCGCTTGGGAAAATAAGGATCAGACTGATACGCTTCACTGAGGCATGCGCTTTGCGTAAGGCAGCATCTTCAGGAGGATTCCGCTCAAGTGCCCTCTTTTGTTCAGAAAGAAGTTTAATAAAGAAGTGGATTGTGACATATCGATTACTATGGGGTCCAAAAGGCACCGTTCAAAGACTTCAGCGTCTTCACACAACCCGAGCTGCTCTCCAATGGGACTTTCACTGTTGATTCTTCTACCTTTGTCTGTTGCCTTCAACTTGGATGTGGAGAACCCAGCGGTGTATACTGGACCCAGCGGTAGTTACTTCGGGTACTCGGTGGACTTTTACATGACTGACTCAAGGTAGGTTTCCTTCTTTGATTTTATATATTGAAATTAATTAGGCTTGGCTTGAGTTCAAAGAAAAGTACAACTAGACCAAGTTCACTTATAATTAATTTAATTATAGACCATGTAAATGCTGTTTAATAACTTTAAATGCCACATATTGGTGTTTTTTGTCCACCCTGCTATTGCTGTTTATCCTGCTATGACTGTGTGGATGTAAGTTTTTCAACCAAGGGTCTCTGAATGTACTCCAGGGGCAATGAAACCAGGGCTATCCCCCAACTGTTGTTTACAATCCCAGCCCAGTCTGTGCATTGCCATTTAGATCAAGGTGTATCTCCACAGTTGGGGAGCCACAGTCCTAAAAGTGTGGTTTTGTGTTTGTTTAGTGCAAGCCTGAAGTGTGTGTGCATGTTTAGATGTGAGCGGATGACAATGCTTCTGTCAGTGGCATCGCTGGTGGTTTTTCTATAAATAGGAGTTGACTAGAGTTAATGATGTCATAGTAAGGTACCAGCTCTCCTAAAGGGGAATGAAGATTGCCCCCCATAATTATCCCTGATTGCATGTGTTATGGTCACTTAAACCTTCAACATAATCTAACAGGAGAATCTCCAACCATTCAAAGATGACCTTTGGTAGATTATGAGTAACCCTTGGGAAAAACCTGAACTTTTTCAATGATGTAGATAAGTCACAGAACGCATGTTTTGAGGGTTAAAGACTGATCTTAAGTGATGCTTCATTGCTTGGCTAATATTTTGAGTTATATATATCCTGTTATTATCATTATAAAAATTAACCATAATTTAATCATGTTGGTGAAAACCTGTAAGACTTTTTTCTGTGGAACATAAAGTTATTGGGAAGAGTGTTTAAACTGGTTTTGTTTATATAATGAAAGCTAAAGGAGTCCAAATCAACATTGGACCATGTTCCAATGTATGGAAAAAAAACATTATATTTTTAGGAATAACTTTTTTGTTATCCACAAAGAAAATAAAGTAATGCAAGTTTGAAACACCATGTGTAAATTATGACAATTTTGAATAATAGGAATTAACTATCCATTTAAGTGCTTGCTGGTGACACACTACCTCTCATTCCATCCTGATGATCCGACGTTAGCTGCTCGCATCTCAGCTTTTCTAACAGACATTTCTTGCTGGATGACGGACCATCACCTTCAACCCAACCTGGCTAAGACAGAACTGCTTGTGGTTTCAACAAACCCATCACTTTATCAAAATGTCACCATCCAGTTAGGCTCATCAACCATAACTCCTTCAAAAACAGCTAGAAAAGTTGTGATTGATGATAAGCTGAAGTTCTCAGACCACATTGCTAAAACTGCCTGGTCCTGCAGATTTGCTTGATACAACATTAGGAAGATCAGGCCCTTTCTTTCAGAACATGCAACACAACTCCTTGTTCAAGCTCTTGTTCTACCCTGGCTGGACTATTGCAATGCTCTCTTGGCAGGTCTTCCAGCCACTTCTATCAAACCTCTACAATTAATCCAAAATGCAGCTGCAAGATTAATCTTTAATGAGCCGAAAAGAATGCACGTCACACCTCTGTTCATCAATTTGCACTTGTTTTTCTTTGTGTGTGTGTATTTTATATATATATATACACACCTTGCTACGTGTACTGCGTTAGGCTAACCGAGACTTGTCATTTGCACTTATATATTGTTGCTCTTTTGTTAGTTTTGACTGCTTTTATTGTCCTCATTTGTAAGTCGCTTTGGATAAAAGCGTCTGCTAAATGACTAAATGTAATGTAAATGCTTACTGAATAGTAATGCTAACCCAAAAGCCAATATGATGCATAAATGATTTTCTGCCTTTGGCACAGCTTTGAATGAAGAATGTTGTTGAATGGAGCAGCAGTTATCGTAAATGTAATCTAGCTTTGATTGCAAGACCACATGATCACCTTCCACCTGTAGATATGATCTCTGTGGCCATATGAGGTGATAAATCTAAGGGGAAATCACAGCGTATGAGGCATGCCATTCAATCACAATGCTGATCTGCTGGGTTTCCATACCCTTTGGCTGCATTACTCGCTTTTCAAGCTGCAGACAGCTGTGTGACACTGTTCGGAGGTATGATTGCAGTAATAATCAACTCACGCATGCCCTGACTAGAACACGCCACAATCAGCCATCTCCATCTGTGTTTGTCTGCTGGACTGTGTCTGGCTGTGCACAGCTGTAGAGGGGCTTTAGTCAGAGTGGGCTCATGCTGGATCTGGTTTCTTGGGGGTGTTATTTTCAGGGAGACTTCTCCATTCCTCTCGCTTTAGTCTCTTCTTGTCTTTCTTTGCTCATTTTCTCTAAGGCTGACCCTCCAGCTATTGTTTTAGTCTGCCATGGTGTGTCTGGCGAAGTTGAGATTCAGAAGCGGCGGATGATTTAGAGCATGACGCATGGTTGAATGAGTCAGAGGAGTGTGTGTGCACCTATAAGTGTGTGTTTCTCCGTTCTGGGTCTATGATGATGTAATTCGGCATGGTATTACAACTCCTTACCCTGTACTTCCAGTCTAATACTCTAGACCGTACGCCCCCCGACTCCTACACGGCATCTTGGCCTCATTCTTATGAACTGTGAAGTCATGGCAAGAGGCAGCTCTCTCAATGATGACTTCATCTGAACTTTTCACTCCCGAGATGTCGTCGTCGTGGAGGAGGATGGATAGGCCTCAAACTGGAGGCTGAGTGAAGGGGTGAAAGAATGTACAAGATCAAGAGTTTTCTTCCCAGGTGTTCGATAGAATGTGTATTTCTTAATTTTCCGGTGCTGTATGTCGACCAGCAGTTGTCTGTGGGCTACTGAAATTGACTAACTGATCTTGTGTGTGTGTGTGTGTGTGTGTGTGTGTGTGTTTTATTCATTAATTTTATTTTTTATAAATTATTACATTTTTTCAGTTTTGAAGTTAATTTGATTTTATTAAAACAATTCAGGAATCATTTTATCTTAGATTCTCTCTAAAGTATCAGTGCTATCAAAACATACACATTCACTAAATTCACTCCTATAAGACTTCAAATCATCTATGCAATATAAGTTAATTTATTGCATTATATTTTAGCTGTTTAGTGTTTACTATATTTATTTGTTGAATTTTTTATGGTTACCCTATTGAATGGCTGTGCATTTTTGGATTTAAATATTTTTTAACTGTTAGCATATGTAAACATTTAGATGAACATCTTTGACACAGAATTTCATCTTTTTGAGCACAAAAACATGTATTTTATGGAAAACCCCCTTAGAACCAGGTCTGGTCTGTGTTTCCCAAAAGCATCGTGAGCCTAATTAGATTGTAGAGACCACCGGAGCCAATGTTTTCTACCATTTACTTGGCTTACGATGCTTTTCAGAAATGCAGTCCTGAATGTGGTCTGATTCTGAAGGACACTAATTTATTCAGAGCCTCCTTAAAACTGACTAGCTGACTAATCAGTCGGACAACCCAACACTGAGTGAAAATATGTAGTTTTGGACCTTTCTATTACATCATGCCATAGTTAGAAGTTACAGCAGTTTAAGATCCAGTGGAGTGCCTCCATATTATTGTGTGTTTCAAAAAGTAGAGGTTTGATTTACGTATATTTTAGTGAAATCATAGTCAAAGTGGGATGGAAAAGCCTGCCTTCCAAACTTAATTTGAGCAGCGGCAGCCAGCAGTCTGAAGACTCAGTGTTCTTTTTCTTAAAATGAAGAATCTAGTGTCAGGTATAAACTCTCTGTCCTGCATGTTCTTCTCCCTCATTCTCTTGCTCTCTAAATCTTCTTCTTTTTTTTTTTTTTTTTTACAAAACATTCACTCCTGGCCTCGTCCACTCCCTGATAGTCTGAGGAGAATAGTACTCCTTGGCATGCATGAATAGAATTAGCCAGTGTGTAGACCACCACTGAGAACTGCCTTAGGACAGGGTTCAAGATCTTGGTGTCAGGGGCTTTACGGCTGTATACATGGAAGAGAAATGTATGGTTCTTGAATGCTGAGAGAAGAACAGTGCAGTTCCTACATATGGGCCTCATCACAATGGTCTGGTATATAAACCTAATTTGTCCCAAAAATTATGGCTAGATGTCCTACTTGATAACTTGACTTGAGGAGATTCTCAAGTCTTTTAGTTGATTATTGCAACAAGTGTCTCCTTGTATGTTCTTGTCAGGAACCCAACAGTTATTTTACCTCCAAAAATGATGTACACCACATTCCTCACTCTGTCTTCTTTACCTTTGGATAAGAAGATGATCCTCTGTACTGTGAAAGGGCAAAGGTCAGGGTCTGGATGTAGGTTTTAATGTCAGAAAACGAAATGTCTTTATTTGAAATGTTTGGATTGCAGAAACGATAGAAACCGAACACCACCATCTCTGTTCCTGCTGGGATTTGCGTGGCTCTGGATGATAAGTGTTGATTTTTAAAGAATAACGTGTTCCTATATGCATAAATTCCTTTTGTGTTTATGATGTTCAAAAAGACGGTTTTTGGTGTTTGATGATTGTTGGCAACCGTTTGAAGCTTGTGGTTGAATCCGAGGAGCTGGACTGTCTGCATTAGCGGCCAAAGGCAACAAATTTACAGCCACAATGGCAGGAATATTACTGTAAAAACACAAAAAACTTTCTCACCTGCCTCTGACTGTTTTATTATCAAAAGATTCACAAAGTTGAGGTTTACCAAGTTGTGTTGGATATCAAAACCTTCGGCACTCTTCTGATAATGACCATGGGGCTAAATTCACAAAAATCTTATGGAAAAAAATGTATAAAGTTCTTAAGATAAATTTTAAAAGATGTTGTCCATCTATCAACCTCTAAGTAGAATGCACCTCATGATACTTTTTTAAAATTTTGTAGCAGTATCTTTGTGGGTTTAAGATAAGTTTGAGGTTATCCAAACTTTAGGAACTTATTTATGACAATTTTAGGAACATTCTCTTTAAGAAGGGAAGAAAGATAAGAACATTCTTGAAGTATTTTTGGG